ATATATATATATATATATATATATATATATATATATATATATATATATTTCTTTTGAGTGTAATATCTGCATTTAACTTCTTGCTTAAGCCAATTTTGAATTGAATTTCTGGGGCATGCAGAGAATGGGTAGTGATCACTTGGCTTTGGTTTCTGAGTTTGCGTTCTTGGAAGGCAAGATAGAAGCAACTGAAGAATATGCTATCAGTTGAAGGTGACATACTTTAATAGTGATGCATCGAGCATCCATACAACAAACTCATCATCATCCTACACAGAGGCGGAGCTAGGATTTGAACTTTATGGGTTCTAAAATTTAAAATTAGCAACATCATGTGGTACTAACTGGGTTCTATGTTTAATATTTTTACATATTTAATAGATTTATTAATACAAATATAAAGTTTGGACTAAAACTACTGGGTTCGGTTCGGCCACACTTGTACGCGAGCCTCTAGCTCCGCCCCTGATCTTCCTACAGTTCCATTGCATGCATTCAAGACAACATGGAAAACAAACCGGATATTCCATTAGCATTTTCAACAAGAGTTGTAGTTTAGTTTGTGATAACTAAGCGGATGCAGTGTGCTATCCGATGTTGACTAGAAATATAGGGTAAATTCATTTGTGTGAGAAGTTTTATTTTGTATCTCATACAACTGACACTAGTTGTATGAGGCTCCTTTTTGTCTCACAAATTTGTGGACCCCAATCTTACACTTCTGGGTCCACAAAAATCTGGGTCCACAAAACTGTGAGACAAAAAAGTTAGTTCATACAACTAGTGTGAGTTGTATGAGACACAAAATAAAATTTTCCCATTTGTGTCCATACTACTAACAAATGACTGGTATAGCATACGTGACGTGACAGAGATTTGTGGATTAAACCAGTACCTTTAGTGTCGTCCAACTTTAGTTCTTTTCCTTTTCCATAGGTGCACTGGTATCTTGTACGTCTGCATTGCTGTAGGAACATAATGGTAAATATCTCAAAATTCTCTTCCTGGGTTTGCATCTACTGAGTTGGGTGGACAACAAATTACATGGACTACCAACATCTCCGTCCATATAAAATTTGTGTTCCTCTGAATTCGAAATATTAAAAAGTGTTTTAACTTTTCTACATGGATTGTGTAAAATTTCAGACTTTTATTTGATATGTATCTGGATTGCCGAATACATCAACAACAACCTAGTGGAATCCCACAAGGGATCTGGGAGGGTAATGTGCACTCAGCCTTTACCCCTACCCTGGGGGCAGAGAGGTTATTTCCGAAAGACCCTCGGCCGTTTCTTACGTATTGCTGAATACGTAAGAAAAAAAAAATCAATGAAAGTTTCGTCTTTTTTTTCCCCAGCAATATAGCTTGAGCTTTCAACATAAAGGCTGAAAATATTTTGTTACAAGTCATCTTTTGGTGTTTGACCGCCCAAGAAAAATAGTTTTCACCACAGGAGAAAACTAATTTTTTTTTACTTTGTAACAACAAACTTTCGCGTCGAGAAAAATAAATAATCAAGACTAGAAAATTGCGTAACAAATGTAGTATTTGATTACATTAAATAATGAGTGTTACAATTTCTATGGTATCCCTCTGATTCTTCAAGAACGTAAAGTACTTTGATGAGCTTGATTTCGATTTGAGTCGAGGGCTTGTAAAGCTTAGCCTTGAATCTCCTCCTTGAACTTGAATTTGGATTTGATCACGAACAAGTAATTTGATCTTGAACGCCTTGGTATTTAATTTGTATTCGTTCTTGATCTTGAGTGCTTGAACTTGTAGCTTGTAAAGAATTCTGCATCGTTTGATCCACGAGCTCTCTGCTTGCTTCTTGTTATCACTTCTAGTGTCTTCTAGTTTTATGAAGACCTCTATTTATAGTTGTAGGGAGTGGTGTGACTCTGCGATTTGATTGGTCCGTTTGAACTGGCCAATACCTTCTAGACACTTGGCACAACTCTATTGGTTGTTGATTTGACTTGGATTTGCAACCCTTCTTGACACGTGGCATGAGTCTGGGCTTTAAGATGGCTTAATAGCCATTTGGGCCTTGGGCTAGTTAATGGGTTCTTCTTTTATAGTCCAATTAAAGGAACTAGCCCAATATATTTGGACTTAAATAATCGGGTAAATTTTAAAAATAGTCAGATTTATAACTGGTCGTTCAAAAATAGCCAATTTCAAAAGTAATCGAAATTTAGCCACTTTTTATATAAAGATAAATCTGAGCGAAATACTGTTCAAAACCCGGAAAAGTACTCCAGTATATTATGCTGGAGTTCCAGCATAAGTATACTTGAACTCCAGCATATTATACTGGAGTTCCAGAATAAGTATGCTGGAACTCCAGCATAATATGATGGAGTTCCAGCATAAGTACACTAGAACTCCGGCATAATATACTGGAGTTCCAGCAAGTATATTGGTCTAGTATAATATACTGGAGTTTGGAGCACCGGTGCTCCAGTCTCCAGTATATTATACTGGAGCCAGCAAAGTATACCGGTCCAGCATAATATGCTGGAGTTCATACACAAGTGCACCGAGCTCCAGTATATTATGCTGGACCGGTCTCTATTACAGCAAAATAGTGGCTATTTTTCATTGACTTAGTAAACGCTGGCTATTTTTGATTGACCAGTCCGAAAACTGGCTATACCGTGCTAGTTTTACTAAATAATCACTCCGGTTGTTTTAGCCACAATATTTATTGAGACTATTATATTAATTTTAATGTAGTCCAAATTATTTTATGGATTTAAATCCGATAAAATTTAAATATTTATAAATGCTCCTACTTCAAGACTTGTCGAATAGTAAATTTTCTAGACTAGGATTGAAGTACGCATGAAAATTGCGCTTTCACTTATTTATGGTACGTGAATTCACACGAATATCTTCAAAAGGCCGTGAACATTTGAGTGGAAATTTAGTCACGTAATACAAAAGTCCATTTATTAGCCATATGCGCGCAACATTTACCTTTGAATTTTGAAAAGAATTCAATCCCTTTTTTCTTTCTTCCTCTTCAATACCTTGATGTACTTCCACCTAGAAAAGGATTTGGATATATTCTTAAGGATATAAACACCCAATTAAACTTTCACAAAAAGATTATTTCCTTATTTTAAGGATTTATCTTTTGACCATTTATTGAATTTGTCAATTTAGCTGCTAAGCCCACTTTTAGGGAAGATTGTATCCCTTGTCATTCGCTAGTAGCTCGTCAATTCATATTATATTGGGAAGAAACCCCATCCTAATTTGGTATTCATGAATCCGTGCTCAAGAATACAGAAAGGATCCAACGATAAAGAAGAAGAAGAGTTCAGATGAAGAAGAAGAAGAGTTCGACATTTCCAATGTTTGAGAATTGATGTCTGAAGATACAAGTTGGGTATATAGACATTAAAGTTGTTTGGGCCTATATTGTTATTTTGGGCTCATAATTCATTGGGCTCAACAAGCTGAAGATAAGAGTTATTTTGGGCTCATAATTCATTGGGCTCAACAAGCTGAAGATAAGATTAGTATTAGCAATTTTATATTTTCTGTATTTCTTATTTAATTTTGTAAATACTATGTGAGTTTGTTATAAAGTAGCCAATAGAAAATTAGACAAGTGTACAGGTAGTTAGGCCTTAGATCCTATTCTTCTGTATATATGGGTCACAGTCTATACAGTTCAGTATCTAAGAAAGAATACACAGAATATTTTCTTCATCTTCTCTATTTTCTTTCATGGTATCAGAGCAGTTAGCTCGATCCAGCAATACAATCAATTTTCTAGACTAATTTCTTCAATAGAACAAGATGGGAGACACAGTCGCTGCTGCAGAAACCAGCAATACTGCAAAAGCTGTCACCTATGATGCTAATCACCCCTATCACCTTAATAACTCCGACTCTCCGGGTATGACTCTAGTCAATAGTGTATTTGATGGAAGAGGATACCCAGGATGGAGGAGGTTCATTCTCTTGTCCTTGTCAGCTAAAAGGAAGCTTGGATTCATCAATGGAGGTTGCAAATCTCCAGGTCTCAACTCTCCAGAACTTGAGCAATGGAATTGTGTGAATGATATGGTCATCTCTTGGATCCTTAATGCTCTCTCAAAGGACATTGCTGACAGTGTCATCTATTCCAAGACTGCCAAGGAGCTTTGGGACAGCCTTGAACAGAGATTTGGGAAATCAAATGGAGCAAAGCTCTATCACCTGCAAAAGGAACTATCAGGTTTAGTACAGGGGAATAGTGATATTGCAGGTTATTTCACTAAACTTAAACGTTTGTGGGATGAATTGGATGCCTTGAATGTCATTATATGCTGCTCTTGTGTTTGTACTTGTGAAGGAAAGGAAAAATTAACTAAGTCACTAGAAGATCAAAGGTTGATCCAATTTCTAATGGGACTAAATGACATTTATGCACAGGCAAGGGGAAACATCCTCATGATGAATCCCTTGCCCAGCATGGATGTGGCTTATTCCTTACTCTTACAGGATGAAAATCAAAGGGAGGTTTATGCAAATGCAAGTTTTAACTCTCAATCAGTTTCATTTATGGCAGCAGGAGAGAACAAAGAACCTAATGCACAACTTCTAGCTGATTTTGCAGCCTTCATGATTACAGGACAAGGAAAGAATCACCAGAAATTCAGAAATCAGACTCAAAGGGGAACAGGGACAGGACCCAAATTCAACAATTCTGGACACAAGTTTGTTAAACCTCAGCAGAAATTCAAAGCAAAGAAGAAATACAACCCAAATGTGTCCTGCACTTATTGTGGAAAAACAGGACATACACAGGAAGATTGTTACAGAATCATTGGTTTTCCTGATGATTTTGAATTCACAAATCATAAAGGGTATCAGAATCAAATTAAAGGGAATGCAGTGGTGGCACATGAAGAAGAGAATCCAGGAGGACAAGGAAATGAGTTTAATGGGAATAATTTTGGACAGCAGCTTAGCAAAGAGCAAGTAGCAGAAATGATGCACATCTACAAGCAAACAAAATTGGCACAGGCAGGAAATACAGGAATCAATGCTAATGCAATAGCAGGTACTATTCTGAAGTATTCAGGATCAGTTTTCACTACTTTAAAATCAGACACCTGGATAATAGATTCAGGTGCCTCAGAGCATATGTGTTTTGATTCTAATTCTTTCTTGTTTCTCTCTCCACTCCCTGTACCTTTGAACATCAGTTTACCTAACTCTTTCAAGGTAATTGTTACTCATATAGGGAGCATTTCTATCCTGCCTGGTCATGTTCTGAACAATGTATTGCATGTCCCAGAATTCAAGTATAACCTGCTGTCAGTTCATAGGTTTTGTGTTCAATTTAAATATGATGTGCTTTTCACATCTGTTGAGTGTGTGTTGCAGGGCCTTTCAATGAAGAGTCCTCAAGCTTTTGGTGAAGTTAGAGAAGGACTCTACTTATTGGAACCAAGTAGTATCAAGTCTAAGGGTTTATTTAGCAATGATGTATTTTCAATTCCAAAAGGAAGAAATTCCATTTCTGAGTCTGTTTCTTTTTCTAGTCCAGTCCTAGTGAACACTGTTTCAGATGTTAATCTTTGGCATGTAAGATTGGGTCACCTCGCATTTTCAGCAATGAAGCATTTAGATTTCTTTCATTCCAGATCTAATTCTGATTTTGTTTGTGATGTGTGTCCTAAAGCTAGACAAATCAGAAATCCTTTCCCTATCAGTAAAATAAGTTCCAAGCACAGATTTGAGCTTATACATATTGACACATAGGTCAAACACCTACAATGGTTTCAGGTATTTCCTCACTATAGTAGATGACTACAGTAGGGGGACATAGACATTTTTACTAAGTGGTAAAAGTAATGCTTTTCCAATGCTTAAATCTTTCCTATCTATGGTTGAGAGACAATTCAATGAGAAGGTAAGAGTGATAAGACCTGACAATGCATTGGAGTTAGGAAAAGGGACTCAAGAGGCAGCCTTCCTAGCCTCTCAAGGAATTATACATCAATTGTCTTGTGTGGCAACTCCCCAACAAAATGGAGTTGTTGAGAGGAAACATAGGCATCTATTGGAGACTGCAAGAGCTTTAATGTTTCAATCAAAGTTACCTATGTCATATTGGGGAGAATCTATCTTAACTGCCACACATCTCATTAATAGGATGCCTTCCAGTGTTCTTAAAGGGAAAACACCATATGAGGTCTTGTTTAAGAAGAAGCCTAAGTATGATTACCTAAGGAATTTTGGATGTCTTTGCTATGCTTCAACATTAGCACAGGGAAGGGGAAAGTTTGATGAGAGAGCAACAGCCTGTGTTTTGCTTGGATATCCTCTTCATCAAAAAGGATATAAATTGCTGGAAATATCCTCAGGAAGAGTATTTGTTTCAAGGGATGTCAAGTTTCATGAAACACATTTTCCTTTTGCTAAAAACAGACCCTCACATCAGCCTATTTTTTCCAACCCAACCTACAGTACAGAACACAACCACCAAGCTCCACTACAGGACCATCAGTCACCTATTTCTTTGGAACCTGAATTTCCTGATGATTTTTCTTCCCCATCACCAAGTTCTTCATCAACACCCCACCATACTTATTCACCTCCTAGTCCAATTTCTTCTTCACCTATCCCAGATACACCACATACCATATCACCACTCCCTGAACCTAACCAGGTTACACCAGTAAGAAGGTCAGGGAGAATTACCAACCAACCAGCCTACCTAATGGACTATGTGTGCAATAATATCATGTTCACAGATGTAGCAGCTGCTTGTTTCACTCATACAGCTAAACCTAGGGAGTATTGTTTCTCCTCTCTATCCCCAAATAACCAACATGTCATGCAGTCAATTTCTACACTTACAGAGCCTAACAGTTTTGCACAGGCTTGTCAACATCCAGGTTGGATTGCAGCTATGGATTCAGAAATTAAGGCACTAGAAGACAACCACACATGGGATGTAGTTGAGTTACCCAAAGGGAAAAGAGCTTTACCTTGCAAATGGGTGTACAAGGTCAAGCATCTATCAGATGGAAGAGTTGAAAGATTAAAGGCAAGGCTGGTAGTAAGGGGGGATGTCCAAAGAGAAGGGATAGATTATGGAGAGACATTTTCACCAGTGGTGAAGATGACCACCATAAGATGCTTGCTCACTATTGCAGCTAAAAGAGACTGGAATGTATCTCAATTAGATGTTAACAATGCATTTCTGCATGGAGAACTTCAGGAGGAGGTGTATATGAAATTTCCTTAAGGTCTAACACCTCCTACTCCTAAGCATGTTTGTTTATTAAGAAAATCACTATATGGGTTGAAGCAAGCATCCAGGCAATGGTATGCCAGGCTTGCAGGGGCTTTGAGTTTTAAAGGATACTCTTCATCATTAAATGATTATTCTCTATTTTTTAAACGAACAGGAAGTCTGATTTCTATACTAGCTGTATATGTAGATGATATTCTACTGACGGGAGATGATTTAGAAGAGATCAAGCACATCAAGGATTTTCTAAATACTGAATTTAAAGTCAAAAATTTAGGAAGCATACATTATTTCTTAGGCATGGAGATTCTGAGGGAAAAAGAAGGTTTTATTGTGAGTCAGAGAAAATTTACCTTGGACATGCTGAATGAGTTTGAAGTTTCTCACTTGCCTCGAGTCACCTCTCCTCTTGACCCTTCTTCCAAACTCCAAGCTGATGATGGGAAACCTTTGCATAACCCCACAGTGTATCGACATCTAGTCGGGAAGTTGAACTACCTGACTAACACTCGACCAGATCTGTCTTTTGCGGTCCTCACCCTCAGCCAGTACATGCAGAGGCCATGTCTCTCTCACTTCAATGCAGCCTTACTAGTGCTGAAATATTTAAGCTCAGATCCTGGCCAGGGGATCCTTCTATCAGCAACACCATCTTTCTCCGTGCTTGCATTTTGTGATGCTGATTGGGCTTCCTGCAAAGATTCAAGAAGATCTGTTAGTGGCTTCTTTATCACATTAGGAGGAGCACCAATTTCTTGGAAATCAAAGAAACAAGTGTCAATTTCTCTTTCATCTGCAGAAGCAGAATATAGATCTATACGTAGAGTGACTGCAGAACTTACTTGGCTTGTTCGTCTTCTTGAGGATTTCTCTGCTCCAGTCACACTTCCCATACCTCTTCATTCTGATAGCAAGGCAGCTATCCACATAGCCCGTAACCCTGTCTTCCATGAGCGCACGAAGCATGTGGAAATTGACTGCCATTTTATGCGTCAACAATTTCTTTCCGGGTTGATTACACTCTCTTTTGTTCCTTCTAAAGAACAACTGGCAGATGTCTTCACAAAGCCTCTATCAGGGGTTTCTCATTCAGAAATTCTGAACAAGTTGGGGGTCACCAGGTTACCCTCCAACTTGAGGGGGGATATTGGGAAGAAACCCCATCCTAATTTGGTATTCATGAATCCGTGCTCAAGAATACAGAAAGGATCCAACGATAAAGAAGAAGAAGAGTTCAGATGAAGAATAAGAAGAGTTCGACATTTCCAATGTCTGAGAATTGATGTCTGAAGATACAAGTTGGGTATATAGACATTAAAGTTGTTTGGGCCTATATTGTTATTTTGGGCTCATAATTCATTGGGCTCAACAAGCTGAAGATAAGAGTTATTTTGGGCTCATAATTCATTGGGCTCAACAAGCTGAAGATAAGATTAGTATTAGCAATTTTATATTTTCTGTATTTCTTATTTAATTTTGTAAATACCATGTGAGTTTGTTATAAAATAGCCAATAGAAAATTAGACAAGTGTACAGGTAGTTAGGCCTTAGATTCTATTCTTCTGTATATATGGGTCACAGTCTGTACAGTTCAGTATCTAAGAAAGAATACACAGAATATTTTCTTCATCTTCTCTATTTTCTTTCATATTATAGCATTAAAATAATAATGCTTATGTTTTGAATTCACATATTTCAGACAATCTGCAAATAAGCATTTGCACTGCACAAACAGTCTAATCAACACATACATAGGGTATTTAAAGGAGAGTTGTGGCTAGAGGAATATGGGGTCCACTTGTATTTTGCATTTAAGAAATGCAAACATTGAATTTTTATGAAATGGCATATATGCCCTTGGTCAACCATCTTCCCTTTTCTATATAATAGAAAAATATCAAGTACAATTTCTTTTGTTTTTGGTACTATCTATTCTTTCCCATACTTGAGAGGCATTCTTGAGTTTTCTATCACAAACTTTTTTTCAAGCCACTTTTTTTTTCTAAAAAATAGTACAATAGGTGCATGCCAATCTTTCTTAGTCTTTTTATCTTCTCCCTTACATTTAACGTTCGGTCCTTTTTGTGCTTTTACTTTCCATAATATTCAATGTATATCGGTCCATAAGTTTAAAGCTAGAGAAAAAATAAACAAAGAATGTAACTTTTACACCTTTTCGCTTCTAATCCCACATGAGAATTGAGATGTTCATCAAACTTATAAAAATCTTTCTTTTTTCCTCTGCTCATTTTCTGTATGAGGCATGTATGTGATATGGTGAAAGGTAGTGACAACATCCTTTGGGCTTGTGGAGCAATTAGTGTTGCATTCTCTTAAAATCAAATATTTGAACTTTATTAGCACTTTTTCATGATAGAATGTAGTCACACCGTATGAATTCAAGAAAATTCAAAAGATAGAACTCATAGAACTTTTATCTTGTGATAACACTTTGAATTTTGAACTTGATTTCACTTCGGCAAGATAAATCCAAGTGAGAATTTAAGAATTACCACTTATTTGACCTTTTATTTGTCTTCTTCTGCATACAACTATCTTTTTTGTTTCCACACATAATTAATCTTCTACTTTTCTTCAATCATACACATGCTTTTTTTAGGCGAAGACCATTACACCGTCTAAGCCAAAGATTTTTTTTTGTTGAAGATTTGACTTTACTTTATCTGAGGCGAAAACCATTACAACGTTTGAGCCAAAGATTTTACTTTATAGACCATTACACCGTCTAAGCTGAAGACTCTTTTTGTTTGAAGATTTGGCTTCACTTTATTTGTGGCATAGACCATTACACTGTCTAAGCCAAAGATATTTTTTCTGAAGATTTGATTTTACTGAGGTGAAAACCATTACACTATTTGAACCAAAGATTTTACTTTGTCTGAAGCGAAGACCATTACACCGTCTAAGCTGAAGACTGTATTTTGTTTGAATATTTGACTTCACTTTGTCTGTGGCATAGACCATTACACCGTCTAAGTCAAAGATACTTTTTGAAGATTTGATTTTACTTTACCTGAGGCGAAAACCAATACACAATTTGAGCCAAAGATTTTACTTTGTCTGAAGCAAAGACCATTACACCGTCAAAGCTGAAGACTCTATTTTGTTTGAAGAATTGACTTCACTTTATCTGTGGCATAGACCATTACACCGTCTAAGCCAAATATTTTACTTTCATCTGAGGTAAATAACATTACACCGTCTGAGCCAATGATTTATTTTGTCTGAAGAAAAGACCATTACACCGTCTGAGCTAAAGGATTCATTTTATTTAAAGCGAAGACCATTACACCGTCTAAGCTAATGACTTCATCCTGTTTGAATATTTAGCTTCATTTTATCTGAGGTATAGACCATTACACCGTCTAAGCCAAAGATTTTACTTTATCTTGGGCAAAGATCATTACACCGTCTAAGTCAAAGATTTATTGTCTGAAGCGAAGACCATTATGCCGTCTGAGCTAAAGACATCATTTTATTTGAAAATTTGACTTGTTTTATCTATGGCAAAGATCATTACATCGTCCAAGCCAAATATTTCACTCTTTTCATGCTTGGTATTATTAGTCTTGAGATATGACACATTATATTATGGATTTAAGGCTATGAACATTACACTTCTAAGTAAAGTGCTAATAAACACTTTTCTCTCTTTTTGCAGTCTAAACAGGGTTTACTTCAAAGACTCAAGACTTTCTACCTCTAATTCACAATACCTCCTTATTTCGGACCATAAGGGAAGCAAGGTGGAGACGAGGTTACCAGTTGATAGGCCATTAGTCGGCCAATATTCTGCAGCTTCTTGGGTACCTTTGAGGGACCCGCCTTATTTGCCAGACTGGACACTTGAATACAATAGCCGCCCTCCTAAGAAATGGATACTTTGTGTCACGACCCTATTCCCCGGACCCGGTCGTGATGGCGCCTCTCGTGAAGACAAGGCCAGCCAATCAAACCCAATTTACCTTTTTAAATAGTTAAACAACACAAGGCAGTCTAAAATATGATTTAATAATATTAAGTAGCGGATAGTATCAATAACGTGCGAAAGTACAACCCAACACAGCCCAAATCGGGGTGTCACTAGTCATGAGCATCTACTAAGGTCTAGATACAACTGACAAGTCTGAAATGTACTAAGTACAGACTAATAGAATAAAGAGGGAGAAAAGCAGTGCTGCGAACGCTGGCAGCTACCTTGCTAAACTCCGATAACTCTGCCTCCGATCATCCAATACCCACTACGGGTTCAAAAAAATACCTGAATCTGCACATAAGGTGCAGGGAGTAAAGTGAGTACTTCCAACTCAGTGAGTAATAATCATAAATAAAGACTGAGTGATAAGAAATCACGAAAAGTGCATCAACATGCTAATAGAAGTGGTACAAAACCAGTAAGAAAGCAATGAAGCTGTGAAATCTCTCGAAGCATCTTAGCTCAGTTTAAAACTTCTTCAAAATGGCTTTTTCAACAGTTAAGCAATTGAATGCAAAACAACTAGAACTGATAAGCATAGAGAATCCGCCCCTCGGGCACAGTTACACATCTAAACAGGTAATTGACAGGTAAATGAATAGATAAACACATAAAGGTTCGCCCCTCGGGCTATAGCTCAACAACTCCGCCCCTCGGGCAATATCTCAGATCAATACCAGCCCCTCGGGCAATCACATAAAACAATACCAGTCCCTCGGGCTATATCTCACATCACAATGGGTACCCGCGCTCACTGGGGGTGTGCAGACTCCTGGAGGGGCCCCTTACGGCCCAAGCGCAATATCAAGCCATCTCGTGGCATCATAAACAGGCTCTCGGCCTCATATCAATATCAAGCCACCTCGTGGCGTACAATCTCAGGCCCTCGGCCTCATAATCAATATCAAGCCACCTCGTGGCGTACAGTCTCAGGCCCTCAGCCTCATAATCAAAATTAGTGTATCACCGCTGCGGCGTGCAGCCCGATCCAAAAGATATCCTCACAACACGGCCCTCGGCCTTACTCAGTCAAAATCACATAAGCCTCTCAGGCAATAGTAAAATAGTGTTTCTCAGCCCAAAACATCATTTAAATATCATCCGAGTATTAAAACTGAGTGAACATGGCTGAGTTTTGAAAATAGTGGAAAATAACATGATTGAGTTCAAGTATAAAGTCAAAACAGTGAGGAAATATCAACAAAAATCCCCGAAGGGTTCAAATAGTTGGCACGAAGCCCAAATATGGCATTCAGCCCAAATAATCATGATAGCAAATAGATTTCAGTCAAATACGCGGTAAAATCATCAATCGGGACGGACCAAGTCACAATCCCCAATAGTGCACGACCCCACGCTCGTCATCGAGCATGTGCCTCACCTCAATATAGCACTACGATGTGCAATCCGGGTTTTCAAACCCTCAGAACATCATTTACACTCATTACTCACCTCGAATCGGCTAAATCTCTAGCTCGCAATGCCTTTGCTCCTCGAATCGGCCTCCACACGCGTCGAATCTAACCAAAATCAGAACGAGGACGTCAAAATATGCCAAGGGAACAAAGCCCAAGCGAAAACAATCAACAATTAGCAAAAATCTCGAAATTACCAAAACCCGACCCCCGGGCCCATGTCTCGAAATTCGATAATTTTCACACCAATAGATTCCTTATCCTCCCACGAGTTCATACATACCAAAAATTCAGAAATCCGACCTCAAATGGCCCATCAAAACCTCAATCATAGGTCTCCAATCCTAAACCCTAGCTTTCCCAAATTTCACCCTTAATTTCCACAAATTCTAGCTTTAATCCATGAAATAATAGCATAGGAACAAGTTTTAGGTCCAAAATCCTTACCTCAATGAAGTTCCCTTGAAATCCCTCTTTCAATTCGTCCAAAAAGCTCCCAAGCCGAAGTCAAAATGGTGAAATAACCCAAAGTCGCGAAATGAAATAACTTATATGTTCTGCTCTGCCCAGTCCTTTCCGCATCTGCGGCACTTCAACCGCATCTGCGGTACCGCATTTGCGGTTAAACTCTCCGCTTCTGCGGAACTCACATAAGAGCCCAAAAATCGCATCTGAGGTAAGCCATCCGCACTTGCGACTCCGCGGGTTGCGGTCCCACACCGCATCTGCGGTTCCTGGCAAATTATCAACAATCCGCTTCTGCGGCTCCTCTTCCGCACGTGCGGCGCCGCACCTGCGCTTCCCTATCCGCAGGTGCGAAAATACCAGAA